AACTCAGATTTCAGATTGTTATCATGGCTTTTTAGCTATCTGTTAAAAATAATAATGAAGAAAAGTTGTTTTTACCTTATGCAGAATATACAAACTTGAATTTGTTTAATCCCAAGTGTAATCTACTCTTTGGAGGTTTTAGGTTTTGTTTCTCTGATTTGTTTTGTGTTGTTTTGCTTTTCACTACAGGGGATTGAACTCAGGACCTTGTGCTTTCCAGGCAGGCTCTTTAGCCACTGAGCTATATCCCCAGCCCAGCAATCTACTCTTAATACTTGCTTTAAGCCATGTTTATCAATAAGCAGACCCTTTGCATAGAGATTATTCTCCAGTCTAACAGCTGTAGGAAGAAAAGATAGGTTCTGTGAGACCTAAGAAAAATCATTCTTAGCTGGAAATTCCAGAAACAAACTTCTTGTAAGGAGATGGAGCTAAAAGTATAAAGCTCAGTGGTCTAAGCACCTGCCTGGCAAGTGCAAGGACCCGGGTTCAATCCCTGGTACCACATACTGTGCCAGTTACCAAAACCATGCCAGCCTCCAAAACCAGGTGTGGTGGCAGACGTCTGTAATCCCAGCACTGAGGAGGCTGAGACAGGAGGATCACTGTGAGTCTGAGCTGCATAGTGAGACCTTGTACCAAATAAATAAATAAACGGTTTTAAAAACACATTTTGAGACCAGGGAGATAGCTCAGCAGTGTAAGCAACTGCCCGGCAAGCACAAGGTCCCAGGTTCAATCCCTGGTACCGCATCCAAACGGACCCCAGAACCCCAGACATGTATGCTGGCCACCAAAATCGGCTGTAGTGGCACACACCTGTAATCCCAGCACCGGCAAGGCTGAGACAGGAGGATCACTATTAGTCCGAACTGTGTAGTGAAACTCTGTACAAAATAAAGATTAAAAAAAAAAAAAAAAAAAAAAACACTTTAGTGTTAGGGATTCGAACCTGACTCTCTGCTTATTTCATCCTTTCAAGTGGCCAAGTGTTAGCATCCACATTCAGGCCTTCACTAGCACATGAGCCATGAGCTAGGACACCAGCACGGTCCTGGACTGCGCAGGACACCAGCGCTTTAATGCAATAGCCACTTCAGGCGTTGGAACAACCATGCAATGTTGGCTGCATTCTTATTTTTGAGCAAGGATTAAATGATGCTTCATTAACCAGTGTATGAATTCCTTTACAAATATTTAGAAGTCTAGATGCCTTTTACAGAAATTGCCTTTTATTCCCCCAGAGAAAAGTCATCTCACAAGGTTATTAAGCCTG